AAAAGGAAGTATCTGGGAAGTATAATACGTTTTAAAAATTACTTAAATCTCTTTAAAAGATAATTATTTAAAAATAAAAATTAATATATTGTGGGGTTTATAACATATGAAGAAGTAAAATGTATGCCAACAATAGTAAAAAGGCTGGGAGAGAAGAAATGGAAGTGTGTTGTCGTAAACTTATATTCTATGTGAAATAGTATGTTATCACTTGAGGGAAGTTAAAGATGTATTCGAGAAAAGTTAAATAAATGAGATCAAACAATAACAGTTATAGTTAAAAAGCCAACAAAGGAGATAAAATGGAATCATAAGAAGTACCCAGCTGACCTAAAAGAAAGCAGAACAAAAGAAAAAGGGAACAGAGAACAGATGGGACAAATAGAAAAAATATAGCAAGATGGCAGATTTCAACTCAACACATCAATACTCACATTGAAAGTAAATGGCTTGAACGCTCTTATCAAAAGGTCGAGGTTGTCTGACTGAATAAAAAAGCAACACCCAACCAAAAAAATAAATGTGGAAAAAGACATATCACACTAACACTAGTCAAGAGAGAGCTGGAGTGGCTACAGTAACATCAGACAAAATAGATTTTGGAGTAAATAATATTATCAGGGATAAAGAAGATCATTGTATAATGATAAAAGAGTTAATTCAACTAATAAATAATACTAATATTTATACCAAATAACATGAAGTAAAACCTGATAGAACTTCAAGAAAAAATAGACAATAAACAATTAGAAATAGAAAATAAACAGCCTCAATTACAACAGTACCCAAAAATAAAAAACTTACTTATGAGTCTAAAAAGATACATGTCAGATCTGCATGCTGAAAACTATAAAACAAAGAAGAGCAAAATGGGGAGATATACTGTGCTCATAGACTGAAAGATTCAATATTGTTAAGCTATCAATTCTCTCCAAATCTACATATTCAATGCAATCCAATCAAAACCCCTGATGGATATTTTGTAGACAATGACAAGTTGGTTCTAAAATTTATATGTAAAGTTAAAATAATTAGAACAGACAAACATTTTTGGAAGAGAGTGGGAGAATTCATACTACCTGATCTCAATATTTACTATAAAGCGACAACAATGAAGACAATATAGTATCAGTGAGTAGATTCCTAGATCAATGGAACAGAATAAAAACTTGCAAATATGGTCAAATGATTGTTGAGAGAGGTGCAAAGGCAATTCAAAGGAGAATGGTTAATCTTTTCAACAGTTTTCCACAAATAGAATATCTGGACATCCACATACCAAAAAAATGAATCTCAAAGTGGATCATGGACCTAAATGTGAAATACAGAACTGTAACACTTTTAGAAGAAAATCTTTGTGAACTTGGGTTAGACAAAGACTTCTTAGATGTGATAACAAAAGTACTACTGGTGAAAGAAACAAATAATAAATTAGACTTTATTTAAGTGAAAAACTCTGTAAAAGACACTGTTAAAGTAAAAAGACAACCCACATATGGAGAAAATATTTGCAAATCACATAACTAGCAAACAATTTCTACCCAGACTATGTAAAGAAGTCTCAAACTCAGTAACAAGAAAACAAGTTAATTAAAACCCCGGCAAAGGATCTGGATAGACACCTTACCAAGGAAGATAAACAGATGATAAATAAGCATAGGACAGAATGCCCAGCATCACTAATAAGTAGGGAAATGCAAATGAAAGCCAAGTTGAAACAAATGGACTGATGACACCAAATGCTGACGAGGCTGTGGAGCCACCAGAACTCACACACTGCGGGTGGGAGTGCAAAGATGGGACAGCCACGTTGTGACACAGTTTGGTGGTTTCTCAGAAAGTTCAACATACACTTACAATATGACCAACAATCCCACGCCTTCTTGTTTACCCAAGTAAAATAAAGACATATGTCCAAAACTTATACATGAATATTTATAATAGTTTTATTGCCAAAAACTCGAAATAATCCAACTTTTCCTCAACTAGAAAATGGATAAACTCTGGTACTTCTATAAAACGAGATACTACCAAGCAATGAAAAGGAATGAACTATTTATACATCAACAACATGAATGACTCTCAAACACATTATGCCAAGTGAAAGAAGCCAGACTCCATTTATATGACATTTTGGAAAAGACAAAATGACAGGACTGGAGGACAGATGGGTGGTGGTCAGGGACAATGGAGAAGGGGAAGGCCTGATTACAAAGGAGTAGTATATAGCACTTTATTGGAAGGGTAATGACTATTCTCTATCTTTTAAAAAAATGTTTTTATTGATTTTAGAAAGAGAGGAAGCGAGAGCGAGAAACACTGATCAGCTGCCTCCTGCACGCCTCACACCAGGGATCAGACCCACAACTCTTGGCATTCGCAACAGCATGGATGGACATGGAGAGCATTATGCTAAGTGAAATAAGCCAGTTGGAGAAAGATAAATATCACATGATCTCACTCAGTTGTGGAATATAATGAACATAGACTGATGAACAAAAATAGATACAGAGATAGAGAAGTATCGAACAGACCGTCAAACTTCAGAGGAAAGGCGGGGG